GAGAAACTTCTTCAGCCAGAGAGTGGTGAATCGATGGAATTCACTGCCACAAGGCTGTGGCCAGGTCATTGAGTACATTTAAGACTGAGATAGATAGGTTCTTGATTATCAAGGGGATCAAGGGTTAAGGGGAAAAAGCGGGAGAATGGGGTTGAGGAACTTATCAGCCATGATTGAATGGTGGAGCAGACTCGATGGGCCGAATGGCCTAATTTCTGCTCCTATGTCTTATAGTCTTATGGTCTTATGGTATTTCCTCTTGGTAATACATGGAAATGTCCAAGAATTTTGCTCAACTTTAAGAATATTGACCTTATTAAACTTTAAATGGTTTTGCAGTTTACATTGGAAGCTTGACAGAATGATGATTAACTAACATTCTGGTACAACCAAGTTAGAAGGGGTGAACTGATTTTGTACCACTCTTGGATAAGTTAGATATGTGTTTGAAGGTTAAAAAAAAGGAAAAGATGTTGCCAATTCCATGTGTAATTAATAACAGCAGGAAATTGCCAATTTGCATTCAACGTGTACTTCAATACTGGCAGAACAGCAAGGGACAAAACAGGAAGAGTGATATATTTCCAAGTCAGGATGGTGAGTGGCTTGCAGGGGAACTTGCAAATAATGGTGTTCCCATATATCTACTGTCCTTGTCCTTCTAGATGGAAGTAGTAATGGGTTTGGAAAGTACTATCTAAAGAACCTTGGCGACTTTCTGCAGTATATCTTGTAGATTGTACATCCCGCTGCTAGTGAGCATCAGTGGCAGAGGGAGTGAGTGCTTGTGGATGTGGTGCCAATAAAGTGGGCTGCTTTTTCCCGGACAATATCAAACTTTTTGAGTGTTGTTGGAACTGCGCTTATCCAGGCAAATGGGGATTTTTCCATCATACTCCTGATTGTATCTTGTAGCTTTTGGACAGGCTTTGGGGAGTCAGGAGGTAAGTTACTTGTTGCAGAATTCCTAGCCTCTGACCTACGTTTGTTGCTACAGTATTTACATGGCTCGTCCGGTTCAAATTCTAGTTAAAGCAATGCCCCAGGATGTTGATCGTGGTGGATTTGGTGATGGTAATACCATTGAATGCCTAAAGGTGATGGTTAGACCCTTTCTTGTCAGTGATATGTCATTTATCATACTTGAATGACACAAATGTTACTTGCTACTTTTCAGTCAAACTTGGATATTGTCCAGGTCTTGCTGTATTTGGGCATATACTGCTTCAGTATCTCAGGAGTCATGAATGGTGCTAAACATAGCACAGTCATCAGCAAACGTGTCCACTTCTGACCTTATGATGGAAAGAAGATCATTGATGAAGGAGCTGAATCTAAATGAATGCAAAATAATTTAAAAGATCCTGCAAACATGCATTGTTATATATCCAGGATTCAGCAATGAAAAAAGACAGTCTTAAAACATGGGTTTACTACCACCAGGGATTTTGCCTGAATGCTTATTGAGTTGCTTGTAGAAGGGCAAACTTACATTCAACGGTCAATCTGGAGAATGCACCGGAGACATGTCTGATGGAATTTCTCGAGTGATCTAGACTAATATTGGTATATAGTCCAAGTCTTGCATTCAGGCAAAGCTCCTGCAAAGCCAACTAAGATGGACTGGACTCAGTGTTCAAAATGCTTGAAAGTATCTCCCCACGTATGTCCTGTTTTTTGCAACTCTCAAATGGCTAGAATTCTGGGATGGGGGTGTGAGGACAAAGAAAATGCTACAAAGGCACTTTGAAGTTTTCGTTGAAAACTGGCAGTATTGATATTAATCATAGAATCCCTACAGTGTAAAAACAGGCCCTTCAGCCCAACAAGCCCACACCAACCCTTGCAGCATCCCACCCAGACCCATCCTCCTAATCTACACATCCCTGAACACTATGGGCAATTTAGCATGGCCAATCCACCTAGCCTGCACATCTTTGGACGGTGTGAGGAAATCAGAGCACCCGGAGGAAACTCATGTAGAGACAGGGAGAATGTGCAAACTGCACACAGACAGTCACCCGAAGGTGGAATCGAGCCCGGGTCCCTGGCGCTGTGAGGCAGCAGTGCTGACCACTGAGCCACTGTGCCGCCATTAATGACTAGGAAGGGCTCTTCAACAGTCATTCAAAATGGATACAACTTATACATCAAACTTCAATTTTCTTTGAACTCATGTACCTTACTGTTGAGGTAGAGTGTTTGCAGAAAAAGACAAGAATAAGGAAGCAAATCCTGCACTCTGAATCTCACTATTTCATGGAACATCCTGCTCATGAGCCCAAAGACCTGTGGGTTGTGAATCAGCTTGTTCTGTTACATGAATTTCATGGTAAACATATGAAATCCTGAGCAGATGCCATCCTCAAATCAAGACCCAGTGACAATGACCATACTGCCACCTTCTTAAATAAATTATATGCCTTTGTAGTAGTATACATTTATCCATGTTATTTGTGACAGTACTACATAATCTCAGAAAGAAATGTTTTTGACAAGTGGACACCACAGTCTGCAGACGTTTCAGGTCAGGATCCTTCTTCAGAAAATGACTCTTCTATCAGCTTTCCTACTCCTCTGATGCTGCCTGGCCTGCTGTGTTCATCCAGCTCCACACTGTGTTATCTCAGACTCCAGCATCGGCAGTTCTTACTATCTCTGGACACCATAGTCTGTTGTGATAGTGTTCAGCTAAGTCATTGCAACATAATTCCTTCTGAAGCCATAGAATGACATATCACAGAAGGACATTATTTAGCCTATTATAGCTATGAATGAGCTACCCAACCATCCCACTCTCCTGTCATTTTCCAACATTCCTTCAAATAAGTATTTTTCCCATTCCCCTTTGAAAGTTAATCTTTCCAATCTACTTCACGTCCTTTCAGGCAGTACAATCCAAATCGTAGCAATTCACCGCATAAAAAATAACATTCTCTTTGCCTTACCTCTAGGTCTTCTGCAATTAGCTGAAATCTATTCCCTCTAGTTACTTCCATTCTGCCACTGGAAACAATTTTTCCTTGTTTATATTTGTCAAAGCCTTCATGATTTTGTTCACCTCTACTGTATCTCCCCTAACTTTCTCAGATTCTAAGAACAATTTCATCTGATCAGTTAAGTGAAAACCAGTTACTGCTGACTGTTGACATTCTGAAAGAAACCTACTGTATTATTTATACTGATTGGGGCAAATGGTTTGTTATAGTGAATAACTTGTTACTTATACACAACTGTTCAGGATCCTTTTGTTTTAAACTCTGGAGTGGTTTGCAACATCCAGCTAACAATTGCTGCACAATTATGAGTGAAAGTCACTTGCAGGAATAGCAAAGCATATTGTTCGTAAATGCAACTCATTGCATTCGATCAGTTTGCAATATCTCTTACATAATCAAGAGATAAATTATTCTTTGACCAATATTATTTTACATTCCTATGGATCCAGTCAAACTGTGACTTGCTTTTTCAACAAAAGTTCTGCAGCATGATTCAAGAACAAGTGCAATAATATATCTCCAAACACAACGCTGATCCATTTTTCTGACAGACTATTATAAAAATTGGTTCAGTGAGTAGGACTACAAATGAATTAATTCTCCATAATATTAAGAATTATTAATATACTGTTATTGATGAGTTAACTTGTATTGTATGCCAAAGTAACATGTTCCAATCCAAGTTTATCACATTTTTAGTGACTTGAAAAAAAAGTTATGGTTTAAAGGACTGTATTGTAAACTGAGCACATAGCAGTAGCTGAAGTGCGCAGCCACTGGCTCTTTGCTTTCCCTTGAGGTCTCTTAAATAATGCATTGTCCCGAGCGGGATATTGGAGATTTTATATCCTTCAGCTATCTGTTGTCAGATGTGTGTCAGACCATTATGCTGGGTATTCATTAGTTTAATGAGTCCTGAGAACTGAGTGCCATCTTTACTTTTTAAATTTCATTAGATTTTAAAATATTGCTGCTGCATCAGATACTGCTTTAACTTCGAAAAGAAAATCTGTGGTAAGAAAAACAGTAGAAGAATTGTTTTACTGTAATTTCATAATGGATTTCCATTTATAGTAGTGCAGATCCAATTCATTTGAAAACTTAAGTAACTTTCTGATGTAACATTTTCTTCAAATTAAGCAATGATTTTACAGAACATTATGACTATCACACATCAGAATAAATCATGATTATGTATGAAGAACTATTTTGTTTCAATGAATTGAGGCAGAGTTTTATACTGCATTTTGTTGTAAAGAGTAATGTTTTTATTACACGATAGTATTCATGTCTTAAATCATTTAATGCCACAACTGAATATTTAAAATAGATAGTAAAGTACCTGTTTAAAAATAATGCAGGTAGTAATCCAAAGTTATATTTTAATGTAAAACAAATGCTACTGCAATTCTTGCCCACACAAGGTCATTTATGGAGTTGACACAATGGGGAGCAGTCGTGCGTAGAAAACATTCACTGTATGACATTGAACTAAATAACAAGAGTGAGTTATTAGTTTCTGCATACATGCAGTGTGGTTATTTGTCAGAATGACCGCCCCAAATGTGTGTAATCAGATTGTACCTTTTGCTATTTTTATAGATGTGTAAAGCTCCAGGTGGAAGGACGTACCATCAGCAATCACTAATATTCAGGTTACATGTATTCCATTAAACACATGATGGTACAGTTTATACAATTTCAGACTTTTCTCTCAATGTAATAGGCAAGTCAGCGAATCCCTGCTTTTATTGTAACTTCTAAAAAATTGCAGCTTTTTTGAGACATGGCAAGAAAAAAGGTGGCAAATTGGCAAAACAGCTGGTGGGTTACATATTAAGTGTTACCTTTAGAAGGCTGATGGCAGTGTGTTCATTTTCTTCTGAGCATTTACTTAACAAAAAGTGAGTTTCTAAGTAAAATTGTTACGTGGCATTTTTCCATTCAAGGAAGTTCTGGGAATTCACTCTCTTCCTGATCTGGTTTCCTGTTAGCTGGGAATTTTCTCCACAAGTTCAGCAGTATTTGCTGAAGCTCAGCTGTATTCTTGCTGCTTGAAGCAAAATCAGGAACATGTTTTTGAGATTGAGTTTTCACATGACAAGGGCTATTCAATTTAAACAAATTCATGTTTTTGCGCAGCTGTAGTTTAGCCACAAATGAGATTGATTTCATAAACACATACTTTCCCTATGATGCTTCAATTCTCTGCCATATGTTTCAATTTTGACATTTTCTGACTTGTAGGAAAACAAATTGGCAGAATTCCAAACAAAGAAAAGTTCACTGAACCTTTCAAAGAAGACGTGGGAGTCTTGTGATTTAATTGCATCGCCCTCAAGGAATGTTTTTAGAAAGTCATATGAGTTTTACCTCAGTCTGTTTCCAGTAATTTGAAGTTCCTGCTGGACAATTCGTTCAATATCAGGCTTTCAGGCAATACTCGAGAGCTTTACAGCAGCCCTCAACAACGGTCTAGTCACCAGTCTGCCAATGCTTCCAATCCAAGGATATCAGCAACTGTAATACAAGTACCAGAGCTGGAATTTCGCCGGTAACATTACTGAAGACATCCTGTGTTCAGACATTGTAGCTTACCTGCTGAAAATATAATTTCTACAAAACATGGAAAGTGAGTCAGAAACCAGAATGGTGGAGGAAACACAGAGAAACAATAGCTCAATTTCACCAAAATCCACGCAAGAAACAGAATCAACCCAAAATGAAATTGTTAAGGAAGATCTACAAGCTGCTCGAAGGATTGAGAGATTTGCCATACCCCTCGATGATCTGAAAATGCTGTTTGAGAGGTCAGACACACCAAAGAGCAAAAAGGTAACATATTCTTTGTTCTGTACCATCTTATTATGGAAAATTACAGAGGATATTTAAACATTGCATTTTGCCTCAGTATATTTGTAAACAGGAAGGCAATAATATAATTATTTCAGTCAATTAGAACCTATAAACGTGATTTTTAAAATAATTGTTATATGAAAGATTTCCATCTGATGCTTTTCAACAATTATATTCGGTTGATTGATATTTTCCTATGTTTATTTGCTGTTTTAAAGTAATTCGACTCATTTGGGTTGGCATAATCAGGAAATTAAACATTATTGATACTTGTGACTTTGAATTAAACAATTATTTTTAAATTACGACTATGCCCAAAGCAGCCTAAATCTTGCAGTTTGTAGCAGCAAATTTCATTGCATTTCAACTGAATAAAACATCAGACATGAAATAATTTATGCTAAATTTGGTTAATAGTTGGAAATATAAATGTTTCAAAAACTTTTATTGTGACTGTGAATCATCAGACTAATAGATTTACAGCAATGAGTCGTCAGAAAGCATAAGTGACCAGTGCACACCAGACACACTAGCTTTGCCCAAATATCAAACCCTTGAAGTAGCATATGCATGTTGGTACAAAACAGGTATTACTGGCTGGTGATTGAGGCAATATTCTTTGATATGCTTTAACTTGCAACAATTTGATATGTTTTAACTTGAAAATGTGCGCTCTGTAGATTCTGAGTGGGAAAATGTGATGTCTGACAAGTTATTGAATCACAAGAGAACAGGGAGATTCCAGTTTCAATCCTTTGTAGGATTGAACAGTTTGGAGGTTGGGGGATAGTGGGGAACAAGCAGAGTTGCCAATCGTGATGATTGCATTTTGTTGGAAATACTCCTCATATATGAAAATCAGGTAAAATCAGCTAAGATATGGCTTCTGATGAGATAACTTACTGACACATTTTGTGTAGGCTTACATGTGAAAGGGTCCATGGCCTAATTACAGGAAAGCTACCAGTGCTCATATATCTGTATTCAGCCTGAGTTAATGCTTGCACAAAAAAAATTGCCAAAAAATAACCATTTTCCAATGAGATCATTAAAATGAATGCACAATTTTGAGATATGCATACCTGACATCCCAATATGTGACCTTAGTGAATAAACTTTTGTTGTGATAGTTCATAATTAATTTGCTAAAAGTTGAAACAATTTCAGTTTTTTATAACCTAACAATAGTTTTTATTTGGAATATTGAATGCTGGCCTTTATCTAGAGGATCGGGTTACAAGGACACAGAAATTATAATGGTATTATACAAAACCTGGTTAGACTTCGAGACAACAAGGTGCAAGGCTGGATGAACACAGCAGGCCAAGCAGCATCATAGGAGCAGAGAGGCTGACGTTTCGGGCCTAGATCCTTCATCAGAAAAGGGGGAGGGGAAGGGGGTTTTGAAATAAATAGGGAGAGAGTGGGAGGCGGATAGAAGAGGGATGGAGGAGAGGATAGGTGGAGAAGAAACAAACAGGTCGAAGAGGCGGGGATGGGGCCAGGAAAGGTGAGTGTAGGTAGGGAGTTAGGAAGGGGATAGGTCAGTCCAGGGAGGACGGACAGGTCAAGGGGGCGGGATGAGGTTGGTCGGTAGGAGATGGAGGTGCGGCTTGAGGTGGGAGGAGGGGATAGGTGGGAGGAAGAACAGGTTAGGGAGGCAGGGACGAGCTGGACTGGTTTTGGGATGCGGTGGGGGGAGGGGAGATTTTGAAACTTGTGAAATCCACATTGATACCATTGGGCTGCAGGGCTAGACTTCACTTGGAGTACTGCGATCATATCTGGGCACCACACCTTAGGAAGGATATATAAGCCTTGGAGGGAGTACAACATAGGTTTGCAGCAATAACAACTGGACTTCAGGGATTATGAGGAGGGATTCTGTAAGTTATGTCTGTTTTCTATAAAATTAAGAAGGTTAAGAGGTGATCTGATCAAAGTCTTCGAAATATTAAAAGGAAAAGACAGGATAGACAAAAGTAAACTACTTCCACTAGTTGGGGATTCTCTTCCACAAGTGGCAGTTGATGCGAGATCAGTTAAATCTGGGATGATGATTTTTAAGTGAAGGTGTTAAGAGATTATGGGCCAAAGGCAGGTATATGGAGTTAGACCACAGATCAGCCATGATCTAACTGAATGGTAGAACAGGCTCAAGGAGCTGAATAGCTTATTCGTGTTCCTATGTTCCTAAAAAAATGTATTCTTAGTGTTATGGACCAGACCAGAACTCCTCAAAACATGTTATGGAAATATCCCAGACCCTCACTTTTCTTATTTTAAAGGCAAGTACCATGACACACTTTGATTGGTCAAAATATCAGGATAGAAGTAAAACGTGCTTTATACATACAGTATTGTTAAAATACAGATAAAAATAAAAGAATTGGCTTAACTGTAACTTTATCAAAATACTTAACAAAATAATAAACTACTCACTAACTGTTCCAATGTAGTAACATCTCATGAGCACACCCTTGGCAATTCTAGCAACAGGAAGAGAACCCCAGCTTTTAGCTATAACAGAGAGAGATGTGGACATAGTAGGAACTGCAGAAGCTGGAGAATCTGAGATAACAAGGTGTAGAGCTGGATGAACACAGCAGGCCAAGCAGCATCAGAGGAGCAGGAAAGCTGACGTTTTGGGTCTGGACCCTTCTTCAGAAATGGGGAAGGGGAAGGTGATTCTGAAATAAATAGAGAGAGACATCTTCCATGGAGTGGGATGGGGAGTTGAAATGGTTCCCTCACCCCCATCCCAGGCCCCAAGAAGATCTTTCACATCAAGCAGATGTTCACCTGTACATCTGCTAATGTGGTATACTGTATCCGCTGTTCCTGATGTGGCCTCCTGTACATCGGGGAAACCAAGTGGAGGCTTGGAGACCGCTTTGTGGAACACCTACGCTCGGTTCGCGACAAATGACTGCACCTCCCAGTCGCGAGCCATTTCAACTCCCCCTCCCACTCCTTGGACAACATGTCCACCCTGGGCCTCTTCTAGTGCCACAACGATGCCACCCGAAGGTTGCAGGAACAGCACCCCATATTTCGCTTGGGAACCCTGCAGCCCAATGGTATCAATGTGGACTTCACAAGCTTCAAACTCTCCCTCCCCCGAAACCAGCCCAGCTCGTCCCCGCCTCCCTAACCTGTCCGTCCTTCCTCCCACCTATCCAGTCCTCCCACCTCAAGCCCCACCCCCACCTCCTACTTACCAGCCTCATCCCGCCTCCTTGACCTGTCCATCCTTCCTGGCCTGACCTATCCCCACCCTAACTCCCCACCTACACTCACCTTTACTGGCTCCATCCCTGCCTCTTTGACCTGTCTGTCTCCTGTCCGCCTATCTTCTCCTTTATCCATCTTCCATCCGCCGCCCCCTCTCTCTCTATTTATTTCAGAATCCCCTTCCCCTCCCCCATTTCTGAAGAAGGGTCCAGACCCGAAACGTCAGCCTCCTTGCTCCTCTGATGCTGCTTGGCCTGCTGTGTTCATCCAACTCTACACCTTGTTATCACAGAGACAGATGTAGCAGCTTTCACAACTCCAACAGCTAAACTAAAACATCCTGGTTCTGTGGGAGCTTAATCCACCTATTCAGGCTGCTTCTATTTTTCCAACATTAAAAAGAACACTTAAGATCTTACAAGCTGTGCACTTTATTGGATTGAAGCAGACTGCTCTGCAACTCTGTCTCAACCAATGTTCATAAAAAATCCAGGACAAAATACACCTCTTAAAACCATAGTATCATCACTCAAATACTGCCTTTAATGGTATATTTAAAAGGGATCAAAATAGAGTAATAGTTTTGAAGCTTATACCTAACTTATAAAAGACATTCATAGAGCTGAACAAAAACAAAGTTGCTGGAAAAGCTCAGCAGTTCTGAGGAAGGGTCACCGGACCCGAAACGTTAACTCTGTTTTCTCCTCCACAGATGCTGCCAGACCTGCTGAGCTTTCCCAGCAACTTTGTTTTTGTTCCTGGTTTACAACATCTGCAGTTCTTTTGGTTTTTATTCATAGAGCTGAACATGGTTCCACTCGAAAAACATAGTAGACCCATGATCTCTAGTTTTAAAATGTTGGAATGAATGAATGATGTAAATGTACATTTATTTTGTAGAGGATGAATATAAAATTATCATACAAGATGGATGGCATTATTTCATACAACATAGTATAGACGCCCAATGGACATTGTTAATTCAGATTTGATTAACTTCTTTGTGTCACAAATTTGTATTTGCTTAGCATGTTCTAACAAAATGCCTTAAGGTGCTTCAACAAGGGCCAGAAATGTAAGAAAGAAGTCAGAATATTTAGCTGTAGACATAACACCACTTTTCTGCTTACTCCCCATAACCATTTACTCCCTTGTCAATCAAAAATCCGTTCCACTCAATCTTGAATATATTCAGTGACGTCTACTGCTCTCAGGAGAACAGAATTCCAAACAGTAACAGCCCTATAATGAAATGTATTCCTCCTTGTGTCTGTCTTAAATGGGAAGCCCCTAGTTCTGGATTTCCCAATGAGAAGAAACATACTCTCAACATCTACTCTATCAAACTCCCTCAGATATATTTGAATAAGATCATCTCCTAATCTTCTGAACTGTACTTAGGGAAGGCCCAAATTGCTCAGTCTCTCATCAGTCAAACAGCTCCCTCCCTCAAAAAAAACTTACCCAGCCACACCATTGTTTAAAGGCAACACAAGCAGTTCTTCACAGATTGACTCAATTGTCAATCAAGGCAATCCTCCAAACCTCTATGTTCCCTTTGCCTAGCCTTCCCCATCACCCTTTTGGGTTTGATCTTCCCCATGAATTCTTTTATTTAACTCTTCATCTCTTAACATTACCCCCTGAGTCCTGGGCTTACAGTTTATCCTTGCCAATCATCATGTTACACTGTCCAACAAAGTTCTCCCTCAGCCTACTGCCAACCGTGGTAATCCAAGTTCTAC